TTTGGAATGATCAATATTTTCGTCAAAATGAATGCTCATTATCAAAAAGAAATTTTACGAGCTCGAACTGCACGTCGTAAAGTTTTACGACAAGTGTACGAACTTGAAGAAAAACAAGCATTAGTCTAAAATATTATATTGACATGCATATTGTTTTTGTTTTTGTTTTTTTTTGGGTGAATATATATGTGTGTGTGTGTATTTTTTTTTTCCGATTGGCAAAAACTTTTTCAGAAAAGAAGAAGAAAAACAGATGTTACAAAGAAAATAAAACTGACTATGAAAATGTTTTTTCTTTAAGAAGACCAAGTCTTTTTATTGCTGCATATTGTGATGGGATTTCCATAAGTGCATGTAAAGCAAAATCAGCATCGGTATCAATTGATGCTTCTACAACACTATTATAATTAACAAATTGAAAATTATCAAATTGTCGTGCTGGTAATGAATCATCAAATTCTTTCATCATATCCCAAGGTCCATCACCTACACCAATCATAACAATTGATAATGGATAATTACTTGCTTCAACAATAGCTTCTTTTGTTTGTCTTTCATTTGTAACTTGACCATCAGCAACAATAACAAGAATATGATACTAACAAAAAAATCAATATTTTTCTTTTTTTTTTGAAAGTCTTTTGTCAAATGTTCTACCTGTCCTGTTTTCTTCACTATTCGAATAGCTTCTTTAATTAATGGTGCAAAATTAGTTGGTCCAGCCATGCGTACTTTTGGAGTAATTTTATTATAAGCCTCAAGTACACCACGAAAACCTTTACAATAACTTCCATCCGGCTATTTAATACAAAAAAAAAGAATGTTAAGTATGATTAATAATAAAAATAATAAACATACACGTAAAGGAAATATTTTTCTATCAACTGTTGTTCGATCGCCAAAACCAAATGCTGGTATTAATGTATCAGAATCAAATTTTTCTAATGTTCGTCCAACAATAGTTATAACCTAAAATAATAAATAAAAGAACACTAATATTTTCATTTTTCTTGGAAATTTTTTTCTTACACTTTGATATGGATTAAGTAAACCTTCTTGTATATGATGTAATGAAAGGCCATTAAATGAATGTTTGCCTGTTTCAAGATTACTTATTGTATAATCAATACCAAAAATAAGTTGTGAACGAACAAGACCAACATCTTTAACAGCTTGATTTATTTCCTCAATTGATGTAAAATCATCTTTAATTGCATTTTCATGTGGTATACAAAATTTTCCTAAAATATTTATTTATTTTAATTAATTTTGTTTTTTTGGCTATTAAAAACCTACGAAATATCACTGGATGACCAGTTTCATATATAGTTGATGGTAATTCAGTAGCTACTTTTGTTGAATCTTTACTAATATAATATGGTTTTTCTTCTATTATTGGAGGTATTTGAACATAATCATCTATATCATCAACATCATTTTTTGGTGTTTTACGTTGACGTAAAACTGTAGATGATGTATGGTTACTGTCATTATCTTCTATAATAAGAAAAAGATAACGATTGATATTTCTGTTTTTGTTTTTGACAGAAGAAGAAAAAAAAAAGAAAAAAAGAAAATTCTTTTTCTTTTTCTTCTTTACCTAATAGATTTCGAGATGTTATATTAGTTGAAGTTATATGATGATTTAAATCTATTGGAGGATTTAATATAACTTGATTTTCTTCAACTATTGTTGGTAATGATGGACCAACTGATAAACGATATTCAGATGATTCATGTGTATAAATATTATCTTCTAAAATTTGTCTTTCATGTTCATTATTTTCTTGTTCTTCATCGAATTTATTTTGACGACGTCGATAAATAAGATATAATATAAAAAGAAGAAGTAGAGAAACAGAAACCCATATTGATAATGAACTTTGACGATGTTCATCTACAGATATTGTTGATGTTGGTTGAAGAAGTGGTTTCTTCTATTAGATAAAAAATTTCTAATCTTATTTATTCAATTTATTAGAATAAACAAACCTGTAAATCTGACTTGTAACGTAAACATCGACCTTTATCAATAGTTGGTGATGCCATTGAAATAGAAAACGACCGATTCTATAAAAAAACAAAAAAGAATATGACAAATACATATATATATATATTCATGATGATTTTCTAGTCTAATGATGTTATTTGACGCTTTTAGCGTATTTTCTTCATGTAGATTCTCGATGTTTATTTGTCATTAAAACGCAACCAGTCGAAAACAAAAGAAAAAAAAGAAACGAAGATTTTTAGGTTTTGTTAACAACAAAAAAAAATAAAGATTAAATTAATCAAGCATTTTAAAATCCTTGCCTTTCTTCTTATATAGTTATTGTTTGTTAAACAACAACAACTAATCAACAGGTTTCATCTTGTATAATCGACGTCATTATAGATAAACCGAGAGAAGAAAAAAAAAAAAAAGAGACATCACAAAGAGTGTAAATAAGAATATGCTCTTTTTCTTTTGTGTATGGATTTTCTTTTTTCTCATCGTGCTTCTATGATAGTTTTCCTTCTTTATGTATAGTGCGTTATTTTGATATGTTAGCGTTCGGTTGGTATGGTAGGCGTTCTACCCTATCGTGCAGATGTTAGATGCGGGTAACATGTTGTCTTATTTTTTGCCCTCTAATTTATCACTTTGTATGGCGTTTCCTTCTAATGTTATGGTACTATAGAGACAAGACAACGACAACTTAGTTTTTCTTTGCTTCTTTCTCGCTAATATACATATATATATATAGATATATATGAGTATTTATACATACAATGAAGTGCCTGTTTTGTTTCTGTTATTGAAGATTGGATAACAGAATAATAGTTAAGAGAAAAAAAAAACCATATGATAAGAGTTCATACTTGATTCTTATCTTTCAAAAAGACCAGACAGTTGTTTGTATACGGACGATTTCTTCTTTCTATGCTATAGATTTCTTTATCTACGAACGATGTATCGATTCATTGACTAATCAATCAATAAATCTAAGGCGATATATCATCTGTATCAGATCAGTACAATTTACACAAGATAAAAATAGAAAGTCTATTTTCTCTTTTTTTCTTTTTTGCGTAGTATTTTAACAAACCATCATAATGATAAATTAAAAATAAACATAAAAGAAAATTGCTTAATGACATCTTTCTTATATTATATATAGAAAAATCTATTTTTATCACGAGATATATCAACAAAATCCAATAATATTAGTATTCAATATTTGAGAAAATGTGCTAAGAGATCTCATTATGTCTCGTATGATAATTTACTATGATTCAAATAAACAATCACTAAGTACATATCTATCAATACATATATAATTTTGTATATGTAATTTATTTAATGATTTTTTTTTTGTGTCTATTTACCTTAATCAACTTGCTGTTCGATTGTTGTTGTTCTTGTAATAAACTATCAGAATGCCATTGTTCCTTTAGACTATCTTTTTCTGAATGTACATGTTTTATTTGCGATGTCTGAGACAATGATAATAAATGTTGTTGTTTTGTTGATGACTGTATAATACGTTGTTGGAAGTTGACATATGATGAAAAATGACTGAAAATATCTGAAGATGAATAGTATATTGTTGTTAATGATTTTTTGTATGGATGCTTCAAATATGTCTTCATTAATTGATTTAAAATCGATAGTGTAGAAAACACATGGAGAAATATATCGTTTATATTTATGTTCTCGTTGAGTAATTTATGTTATCGAATGTCACTTTTCTTTGTTTATTTGCACGTTCGTTTGGTCTCTCTCTCTCTTTATTTGCAATTATTTTTAATTGTCTATACTGAAAATAGTGACGAAAAGATAAAAATTAATTAACATATATTAATATTGTACTTAGCCAGTCGTCTGTAAGATAACCAATTTTTTTCCCCTTGCTGGTTTCCGTTTCCTTCTTCTTCTTCTTCTTCTTCTGTGTTTCTGTTTAACGTTAGACTCTTATATTATTCATTTTTATATGCATCTGATATGCCTAGTAAGATAATCAAAGACGAATCAAACATAGACTGACAGAGATAAATCTGAATAACTTTGCTAATTTAGTAGTTTTTTGTAACTAGTTGGGAAAATACAGTAAGAAAGATATGTACGATAGAAGAAACACGCACAAAATATATTAAAATATACAAACAACAAACCATGTCTGATGTTAACTAAATTAAGCAATGCATGGATTCGTATAGATCATCTAGTTTGATATTCTCATTAGTTTTAGTTTATCTGAATCATTAGAAAATAACAAAAACAATGTTGACGTGTTTGAAGAAGACAGACACTATGCTTGAAGAATATTATTTATCAAACAGCTGTAAAAGATTTATGATTGATATGACCTTAAAAAACAAAAAACAAAATATTGCATACAATTATTCAAATATATTTATTCAAGATACTCATAAATTTTAATTTAACATTTCGGTTAATTTATTATATTCAAAAAAAAAGAAAACACTATTAATGCAATACATGTGAAATATTGCTTTTATCTATCTATTTTGGAATATAATTCTATGTTATCATTATAATTTAATTTTTCAGAAATATTATTTGGAAGCTTTGTTTATATACTACAACGAAATGTGAACCTGTAAGTTTGCCATGGTCTGTGAGGATCTTTCAAGCATCTATATATATATAACCAATACAATCGTATTTCGAGAGATACGTGAGTTTATATGACACTTTACAAAACTAATAGGACGTTGGATGAAAGTCACAGGAAAAATCCAAATTTTCACCGTCATGATAAGCTATATGAAACATCAAAGTATGGTCATATGTAATGCAATGCAATTGTTTATAATCATATACAGATTCTATTTTCTTTTGTAGGTCAATTGTTGCAGATCATAATAAATGGTCATATTTTACGATCTATTGTTATCGAGAAATGCCGTAAAGATGCCATCATATTGTCATATTCTGTCAAATATAGGACCATATGACTACTTCTATATTTATGATGTAATACAGTTCCATCAATGTATCGTATTTTAACATAAACGGTTATATATCAATCGTATTCTTCGCCCATGGTCGTTGTTGACATGCGTCATAATCTATAATTCGTTTCTATGAAATCAAATAAACGCTAACTATATCAAAATATAGGAAATCTTGTGATAATCATTTATTTTTTTTTATAAATTTAACTGTACTCTTAAAAGAAAACAGTATCATTAGAAGATAATCGATGGATTATATATAATACGGCAACTGAGAAATATCTTTAGTTTCAATACTGCTCTATGATGCTCATTTCTAAAACTAGATAAAAAAAAAATTAATCTATGATGACTAGTGGTAAGCAGTGACATCTATTAACATTGATTTTGATTAATAGATTTTTTTATGAAATCAAAAGACGAACCATTCCAACGTTTACATTATATTCACTGACGTTTTATTTGTAAATCATATTAGTTTTCATTTTCTCAAGATGCCAGCTGTACCATCAGGTTATCAAAGTGGTGGTCAAATAAATAAACCAAGTTGTTTTGATCGTGTTAAAATTGGTTTCACTATGGGTTTTACAGTGGGTATGGTTACTGGAACTGTATTTGGTATTATTACTGGTTTAAGGTATATTATAATAGAATTTTTACTTTCATTTGTCTATTTTGTGTCTTTCTTTTTTGTTTGAAGATATGGTTTACGTGGTCGTGAACTTGTTTCAACTGTTGGTAAATCAGTTGTTTCAGCAGGTGGAACTTTTGGAACATTTATGGCTATTGGAAGTGCTATTCGTTGTTAAAGAATAGAAGAAAAATGTTCTCCTTTTTTTTTTCTTATTTATCATTTTTTGTTTTTTAAAACATAAAAAAAAAACTAAACATCGAGTAGACTTTAAGTTTTCTTTTGTATTTTTAGAATAAATGTCTGAATCTTATATTCTTCATGATGTTATGCGTAAAGTTAAAGCTGATGGTTTATTTGATTCAATTCGACGTGATTTAATATCTGATATAGAACAAAAAGTTTGTTTTTCATAAAAAAAAAAGTTTTTTTATTTAATCATTCATTTGTTTGTTTGTTTTTTAGTCATCATATTTAGATTTAAAATCTCAAATTGAATCTTTAATGTCATCTTATCTAGCAGAAAATAAATGGAGTTCATCATTAAAAAAATCTGATATACGTGAAAGAGCACGTCGTCATATAGAAACGTAAGTTTTCATATATTTAAAACATAATATCCCAAAGAGAAAAAAATACAACGAGGATAAACATCTTATAATAAATAGATTTTATTGAATTTTAATTATATTTTCATTACAAAAAAAAACATACCAATAGATCAAATTTAATCAAAGATACATTACCATCACTTGTTAATCAATATATGCAAACATGTCAACAACAATTAGTTCAACCACGTCTATCATCATTTGTTTCTGATCATATTCAACATGTTTATAATTCTATAGGTTAAATTTTTTTTTTTGTTTTAAATAAAATTATTATTTTATTCATTTATTTCAGGTGGTACTCATATTTATCGTCCATCAACATCATATACACAATCAAATACAACTTTACAAGAATCTATAAATCAAGAAAAAATATCATCATCAATTAAACAAGAATCAATTTCTTTAAAAACAAATCAAACTTTACAATCTTCAAATATAATTCCAAAAAAAATTCAACCATCATCATCATCAATATTAAATAAAACTAAATTATTAACAAATTCAATTAAAGAAGAAAAAAAATCTCATATTTTATCACCATTACATTCACCAACTGAACTTGTCGATATTTCACCATCACCACCATTAATTGATAATGAACGTACAAATATATCTTTAAGTCCATCACCTCCTCCACCTATTGTTCGTATTGCATCACCATTAACATATTCAACAAAAACAGAAACTTCAAGAAAATTAAAATATTTACATGATGAAAGTTTAAATATAAATATAAAAAAGAAAAAAATTAAAATTGATAATATACAACATAAAAATATATCTGATGATAAATGTATAATAATTTGAATTTGAATATAATTTAATTAATTTTCAATTTATTAAAACTTTTCTAGCAAACGATATTGTATCAATATCAACATCAAATGAAATTGATACTCGTAAATTACGACCACGTCGACCAAATCCAAAATATTCAAAAGAACAATTTGAAATAGGGTAACAAAGAATAAAAAATTATTTTTTTTGTTCTTTGGTTTTGAAAATCTATTAGTTTTCTTTTAGTGATCTTGATATTACAGAACCCTCATCACCACCATCTGTAAGTATATTGTATGTTTTAATTATATAATTGCTAAGTAAAAAGAGATATCATGTTCACCAATAGTTAACTTTTTTTTTTTTTTGCTTTCGAGTTAATGAAGAATACTAGAATTCCTGTATCATCAATAGTATTTAAATTATTAACGTTAAGATTAGAGATTAAAAAAAAACCTACAAGTTCAATATTATATTCTCTTAAAAATTCATTGTAGACAATTTCTAAATCAAAAAAAACTCGTTCATTAAAATCATCAACAAGTTTTGAACAAGAACATTTGGATACACCATCATCACCTTGTGCAATTTCTGTACCAATGGAAACAGTAAATACAGTTGATGATAGATCACCTGAATATGAAACATCATTACCTTCGCCTATAATTGAACAACAACAAACTGAAAGTAAGACGAATTTTCTATTATTTTATTTGAATAACAATTGTTAAATTTTTATTTTATAGAAATAAATGAACGATCAAGAACACCATCACCAGTGACAGTGAATACAAAAAAATCAACATCACCAAGACGTCTTCGTCCAAGAAAAATAAATGAACGTTCTTCAACTGTAGAAAATCAAACTGAAAAGTTCATATTAAAACTTT